GGATTGCAAGCATTATCTCTGTCAAGAATGCCAGAAGGCGCATAATCGATTTGCAGCACTGAAGAGTCACAAGATTGTGGCTTTGACAGAGCTACCTGTTGAGCCCGAAGAAATAACTGAGGATACTGAACTCAAGAAAGTTCCCAAGTGTCGCGAGCACCCAGATCAAGATCTCTGTCTGTATTGTAACACATGTGAAGTCCTCATATGCAATGAATGCACAAACATTGACCACAAAGGATCCATACATTCTCACGTCAGCATCGACCAGGCGGTTAGCAGATGTAAACAAGAAGTACATGAATCCGTAGCTAAAACAGAAGAGTGCATAAAAAAATTCATTTCTGCAACCCCTTCTTCAGGTCATTCACGTTACAGACTTGACAAGATGCTGGTAAAAACGTACTCTCAAATTTCACAGAAAGCAGAAAAGGAAATTGCCAAAATCAGAGAGAAAGAACAACAACTCAAAATGGAGGCCAGGGACATTGCCACTAAACGAGAGAAACAATTTGCATATGCGGTAACGTCTGAGAAGATTCTGGGTAAAGTGAATAAAGTGATGACTACAGCAACGTGCTATGAGATCCTGGAGAACAAAAAGAAAATGCTGCGGGATTTGAATGAGCAGGTGGAGGTGCATAAGAGTTTGGATATCAAGCATGGGAAGTCATTCCTTGGCTTTAAGGAGAGTAAAGAGGATGGTCAGTTTGGGACTCTGCTCTTGGAGGAGAAATGGGAGACAGATGAGGCCTTTTCAGAATATGTGCAAGGTAGAGACTATCGACATATAGCAGCATACTCCACAAGTGAAATTGCTGTGGTACAGAGTGATAAATTGCTAACATTGGGTATAAAAGGGAAGGTGATTTCTACAAAGACCTACAAACCTGACCCTGATAAACCAAACGAACCCCATGACCCTAATGACATACAGAAAGCAACAGCTCTAGCCATCAACAAGGATGATCAACTTCTGATCCTAGACAATCCTGCAGTCAAGATCTTCAACAAGGAATACCAGCTCCTTCATCAGTTCCTACCGGGTAAAGAGGCCGGCGTGGATGGAATGCCGACGTGCCTGGCAGTGGACAGCAGCAATCTGATAGCAGTGGGTTACAAGGACAAGGAACAGATATCTCTACACAACCCAGATGGTTCCCTCGTCAGAACACTGCCTGCTCCAAAGATTGGTACATATTTGAAGTTCAGCAACAAGCGACTTATTTACACCAAGAGCAATGAGGGTTGGCTGATGGCTGTTGACTTACATGGCAACAAACTGTTTACTCAAAGTTGTAGTGATCCTCGTGGGCTGTGTTGTGATGATGCAGGTGATATTTACCTTTCGGCCTCAGATAAAATCTGCCATTTTAGTGCAGATGGCAAGTACATTGCTTCATGGGACTGTCGGGGTGGTTCTGATATCACATACACACCTGCACATAAATTAGCAGTTAAATGTACATTACGGAGGAACTGGTACAGTGGGGTTGCTGTGTACATGTGCATGTATCACTTGGTTTAGAGATATCAACCAACATGTAATTGTTCAAACGATCAAAACAAAAGGCAGGGAATAAAAAAAGAAAAAATATACAAAAATGGTATCAAGACATTTTATCTACAAAACACCCATGAAAATTATTGATGCTCCATGCATCCATGGACATGTGCAATGTACAGAAACTTTCTGATTGCAACTTCACAAACAGGACAGACTTGAACACTTTGAGCAGGATATGGGATTGTACACATGTACATAGAAAGTTTACATGTGTTATATTACATTTAGTATCTTACACATGTACATCAACCGTAGTCATATGTGCAAACTTATTTGGAGCTTGTACAGTTACATTTTATTTACAAAGCAAAAGACAGTCCATTATGAATGATCTTCTTTGTAGATCAGTGTCGATGCTGCCCTTCGTTTGCTGTGCACCATAATTATTTAATGTATATTCTTGTAACTAACATGCTTGAGTGCAAACACTGGTGCAGGTGGCATGCAGCCTGTGTGTCATGGCTAAAGGTTTAAACGTTTAAATTAGGCTGAAATTGATTAGCTAAACGTTTCCAAAATGAACGCAAATCATCGAGGGCCAGCTCCATAAGAGTGTATAAGGCTATACCTTGGAATGTTCTATATATACAAACGATTACATCTCTTTTGAGACTACAATGTAGATCAGCTTCATTCTTATTGGAGATTTGGAAACACTAACTTTAACTTCCAAACCAAGCCCTCTTTGTATCTTGCTTTTGCCCAACGTTTTAAATTAAATGCCCCTTCCATCTTATATTGCTTTGTATTATGAGCACATGTATGCACTGGAGCCTTTGGTTTTAGTAGTTTGGTCTTGGGTATTTGATCAAGCATTCAACTTGATCAGGCTTTTGTAGCCTCAGAATAAAAATGATGGTTCTCCATTAATTTACCCAAACAGTTTGACTAGTTCTCTCCTTCTTGCTGTGGTTTATTTATTGAGCCTGCATTGCAATGATTGTGTTACATTGTTTTGCTTCACTGAAAACAAACCTTTCATTGACAATGATTACCAAAAACACTGGTTATTGCAGATGACTACTGTTTCATCTTGAGTTTTAACCACTATGGATGGCTACCCAGACCAGAGCTATGGGCCCATGTAACAGACTGCCTATAACATGCACTGGGCCTCTCTAGCCACCCAAGAAAAAATGTGTGGAAAATCTGATTGGCTTTTCCGCAAAACCCTTTGTTTCTGTATTTTTTCTTCTTCTTCATGTTTTCTATCCCAAATCCCATAGACTTTCTACACTTTTTTTCTCGCCGGCTTAGACATTGACACGGTGTAAATGTTGTTAACGTCGCCGCTATGTATTAGATTTATTCCATTATTTAAGTTTCTTTCCTTGGAGTAACTTTTTCCCTTATTGAGAGCCCTTATTTACATAATTTGCAAGTCTAATCTAGTCAGTCCCCTACCAACCCTGTTTAGGAATCTCTTGTATGCCATTACGTAATGTTTTTGCTTGTGCCGCGCCAGCGTGCGGGAAATTCAAATCAGTTGCGTTCACACTCCCGATTAACTCACTTCACTTGTGGGTAGCCAAAAACTTGTAAGTATTTTTTACTTTCATTTATTTTTTACTTCAATTAATATCATGTTTATTTCTGAACATTTAATTCCCTGTAAGCATTTATCCGTATACTATATTACTAGCGCCTGGCTGGATAATCATGGATACGTGTGTTTTAGTTCATGCCGAAATACCTAAGATTCATTAACGCCCTTAATTTATAGGCCTTCACCCCGGTACATGGAAAAAGAAAGTACAGATTTTTGGGGATACCAATTTATTATATAATTTATATCTGTGAATTATATTTCATTGTGGTATGTTTATTTATTTGCTATTCACATTATTTTGTACAGCACCCCAGAATGCCGCCGTAAATCCCTGATCACCCAACAACTGTTTAACCCATATACCTCACTGTGTGCCGATGGTTCCTTACCCGGGGAACGATTGTAAGTTTAATATCAGTGGGTTTCTTTATTTAAATAATTCATTGGATCAATTGTATTTCATTAAAATGAACTGTTGACTCCTCCGCAACCGAGTATATTGTCGATAAGGTGCTGCCCGTTCACAATTGGTCTAATATTCTCTCTAAACCTATTGATGTAATTGTTTAATCGTGTATTTTGATGTTTATGTGATTGTATTATTTAATATCAATGTTTGTATTTTCCTTAAGCTTTCACCTGCATCAGTGGTATGCAAATAAAATGGGGTGAAGAATTCAAAACAGACTTCCAGTTTCGTTCTTCAGCGGTGCATACAGTGACAAATGCTACGTCCCAATGACATTTTTGATCATAATTTTGGCACATTCAATGATTTAAAACTTTCTGCAGTACTGAAACATCCAACAACAAATATTATGTAGAGCAACTGCAAGCAAGGCATTCATACTTCTCATAATATGGTCATATGTCACACATTGTTCCCAACTCGGTTGAATAACCCATTAAATTTATCCTTGTCAACTTTTTATCAATCGTAATACACCGATCCATCTGCCTACATGCACAAGAGCAGCCCAGTACAATGTACAAGTACTGGACACCTAGCCACAACCAACAACAATAGGCTTGAGGTCAAGAGGTGTCTCATAAAAAGCTATTTATAAAAACCTGGGAATTTCCCATATGAGACATTGTGTTCATGAGGAAACAGTTCAACTGTGACGTCACAGTGCACAGCCGTTGCTGGGCTCTTGACTGTGGTAGTGAGGCACTACTCAGTATTGGACAATCCGTGTACACAACATACAGTCGTGCTGTTGTAGTAATAGTAGGGTGTGGCTGATACTGCTGACAGACTGCATGCAGGAAACGACTTCAAACTGTACCCATAAACAGGTCTGTTGAACTTGTAGGTAGGTGGACATTGTTATGGGAATATACATTTGCCTTTGCTGTAATTTTCAAAAATGGATGGATTTTGGGGGTTAGTATTTTACAGCAAATATTGTTACACTGACTTGTTTGATGTTTTGGGTTTGTAGATGCTAGAAAAACCAAGAAAAACAATCATGTTCTTGCAGTCTGGTTCCCTGACGCCATTTAAATTGAAATGGAGCAATTTAAAGACCCATAGTTACAATGTCGACGAGCGACAGATGGCTATTATCTCCCCAAGGAATAATTTAAGGGAAAACAACCCGGCCCAAAGAATAAAAGGGAAAACCACCCATTGCTAAAGTTTTGTGACGACTCCTCGTGCGGCGACAAGATGTGAGATATGCCAGTTCATTATTGGTCAAAAGAGGGTACCAGCAGTTCAAAATCACTATACTGAACAATCATTATGATGAACACTTTCTGTGGATCCAACAATGTTCACTATAGTGGCGTTTTGCTGTATACTGAACATGAGTCCAGGTATATTTATACAGTATCTTATGGTATGCATAAGTTGAAAGTTCGTTTTTGTTTCCACTCTTATATGGTTCATGTAGAGTACAACTGAGCAAGATGGCAGAGGGAGGTGTGACCGATCAAGTCTTGGATGAGACTCAGAAGGAACTTCAAGAATGTCCTATCTGTTACACTGAGTACAAGGATCCTAGGATGCTAGACTGCTCACACAGCTTCTGCCTGAAATGTCTCCAAGAACTCAGACTGACACAAAATAAGGATGACAAGAATATTGTCTGTCCATTGTGTCGAAAGGAAACTGCCCTGACTGAAGCTGGCGTGGACATGCTACCTGGAGGATCAAAGGATGTCAATCAACAGGAGCAGACTGAAGGTCAGGGGTTAAAAGTCATGTGTCAGGTATGCGATGAGGCGGAGAACGAAGCCATTTCTCGATGCGTGGATTGCAAGCATTATCTTTGTCAAGAATGCCAGAAGGCACATAATCGATTTGCAGCACTGAAGAGTCACAAGATTGTGGCTTTGACAGAGCTACCAGTCGAGTCCCAAGAAATAACTGGAGACACTGAACTCAAGAAAGTTCCCAAGTGTCGCGAGCATCCAGATGAAGATCTCTGTCTTTATTGTGACTCATGTGAGGTCCTCATATGCAATGAATGCACAAACTTTGACCACAAAGAATCCATGCATTCTCACATCAGTGTTGATGAGGCATTCAATAAATGCAAACAAGAAGTACATGAATCTGTATCTAAAACAGAAGAGTACATTAAAGCATTCATTGCTGCCAACCCCGTTTCAATAAAGCATTCACGATACAGACTTGACAAGATGCTGGCAAAAACATACAACCAAATTTCACAGAAAGCAGAAAAAGAAATTGCCAAAATCAGAAAGAAAGAAAAACAACTAAAAAAACAAGCCAGGGACATTGCAATGAAACGAGATAAAGACTTTGCATGTGCAGCAATACCACAGCAGACTCTGAGTAAAGTGAATGAAGTGATGACTACAGCAACGTGCTATGAGATCCTGGAGTCCAAGAAGAAAATGCTGTGGGATTTGAATGAGCAGGTTAGAGTGCATAAGAGTTTGGATATCAATCATGGGAAGTCATTCCTTGGCTTTGAGGAGAGTAAAGAGGATGGTCAGCTTGGGACTCTGCTCTTGGAGGAGAAATGGGAGAGAGACAAGACCTTTTCAGAACATGTGCACGGTAGAGACTATCTACATACAGCAGCATACTCCACAAGTGAAATTGCTGTGGTATGCAGTGATAAACTGCTAACATTGGATACAACAGGGAATGTGATTTCTACAAAGACCTACAAACCTGACAAACCGAACGAACCCCATGACCCTAATGACATACAGAATCCAACAGCTCTAGCCATCAACAAGGATGATCAACTTCTGATCCTAGACAATCCTGCAGTCAAGATCTTCAACAAGGAATACCAGCTCCTTCATCAGTTCCTACCTGGTAAAGAGGCCGGCGTGGACGGCACGCCGACGTGCCTGGCAGTGGACAGCAACAATCTGATAGCAGTGGGTTACAAGGACAAGGAACAGATATCTCTACACAACCCAGATGGTCCCCTCGTCAGAACACTGCCTGCTCCAAAGGTCGATACATATTTGAAGTTCAGCAACAAGGGACTCATATACACTAACTACAAAGAGGGTTTGCTGATGGCTGTTGACTTACATGGCAACAAACTGTTTAACCAAAGTTTTAGGGATCCTAGTGGGCTGTGTTGTGATGATGCAGGTGATATTTACCTTCTTGCCTCAATTAAAGAGAGGAATCATGTATACAAAAACATTTGCCATTTTAGTGCAGATGGCAAGTTCATTTTCTCATGGAACTTTGGGGATCATTGTGATATCACATACACACTTGCTCATAAATTATCATGTACAGGATATGACATGAGAAGATATCACTTGGTTTAGAGACATCAACCAACATGAATTGCAAATTCAAATTATCAAAATACTAGGGGGGGGGGGGTGGGGGATGCATTAATTTATTTCATATATACTTATATCAACACATTATCTACATAAACACACACATGTACATTACTGATGCTCCATGCATCCATAGGCCATTGAAATGTACAGAAACTTTCTGACTGCAACTTCACAAACAAGACAGACTTAAAACACTTTGAACAAGCTTTATTCTTACCGGACAGTCAGAAACACTACTCAGCAAGTGAAACTTCCCAACCAAGCCTTCTTTGTAACTTGGGTCATTGTACAATAGTATCTACGCACTTTTCTCAAATATGTACACTGTTTTGTGTTATTAACATATGAGTAGAGGACGTACCGGTAGAACATGATCAAGAGGCGCACGTGCTGTTGCCCTTGTGTGTGGTTAAAGGGTGCCGTCTAAACATTTAAACGATAACAGTTCTTAAATTCTTAACTTTTCAAAATGTTTAAATGAAGCCTGCATTGTATTGTGCATGTTTATGTACCAAGCTGCCCTTGTACATGCATTTCAATCACACACACATGTAAATAATACTAAAGGACACCTTCAAACCATTTTATTTACAAAGCAAGAGACAGTCCATTATGAATAATCTGCTTTGTAGATCAGTGTCGATGCTGCCCTTCGTTTGCTGTGCACTATAATTATTTGATGTATATATTCTTGTATATGCTAACATGCTCGAGTGCAAACATGCATACTGGAATTTGTATCCTTGTGGAGACATTCCTTTGTTCTCATGTACTAAAGTTTTCGAGTTTGAAAGAGTAGTTTAAAAATGCTCTTATTTTAACCAGAATTAATTTCATTGGCTGAATTTTGGACTTAAAATCCCTTTTCTAAAACTCTTCCATTTGCGACTGATCAATATAGCTGGAAATTCCTAGTTTTTGAGAAAAAATCTATATATCTATTTCGTGAAAACCTTGTGGAGACGTATTCATCTATAGAAATTGCCTTGTGGAGACGTATTCATCTATAGAAATTGCCCTGTGGAGACGTATACAATCTTTTGTTCCCTATTGTACACACGTCTTCAGAGGGCACGGTGTATCAGATCAAGTGTGCAGGTGGGATGCAGTCTGTGTGACGTGGCTAAAGGTTTAAACGTTTCAATTGGGCTGAAAAAGATTTGCTAAACGTTTCCAAAATAAACGCAAATTGTCGAGGGCCAGCTCCATAAGAATGTACTGTTATACCTTGGAATGTTCTATACGATTACATTTCTTTTGAGACTACAATGTAGATCAGCTTCATTCTTATTGGAGATTCGGAAACACTTACTTTAACTTCCCAACCAAGCCCTCTTTGTGTCTTGGTTTTGCCCAACATTTTAAATTAAATGCCCCTTTTATCTTAAGTTTTATACTGCTTTGTATTATAAGCACATGCATCATCAGGAACCTTTCATTTTAGTAGTTTGGTCTTGGGTAATTGATCAGGCATTCAATTTGGCATTTGTAGCCTCAGAATAAATGATGATTCTCCATTTATTTATCCCAACAGTTCGACTATTTCTATCCTTCTTGCTGTAGTTTATTATCTTTTGAACCTGCATTTCAATGACAGCGTAACATTGTTTTTCACCAGTAAAAACAAACCTTTCATTGCCAATGATTGCCATTGAAAAAAAAATACCACTTCATCTAGAGTTTCAACCACCACTTATGGTTACCCAGGCCAAGCACCACAAATGGGGTCCAGAAACTAGAATGCCTCTTTAAACTGCACTGGGCCTCAGAAAAATGTGTGGACAATTTGATCATGGAAAAATGTGTGGACAATTTGATCTCTTCTGGCTTTGATACACACTTTCTAATGCATTTCAACTTAATGGGGTTCAAAAACACGCTTAAATACACAAACTGTTAAAAAAAAAAACCAATGAAAATTAAAGGTGAAGGCCTACACCTTATTTCCAGAAGAAAGGTTGGAAAGTGTGAACTTTTCACTAATTTAAAGTTGTGATACTGATTGGTTTTTGGTGTCTAAACTGTTTCTTGACTAAATCTGGTTCATGAGCTTTTACACTAGCGGGGTGCCGTGTGAAGAGCTGGGTAGAGTCTTGGCACCCACTAGCTGGATGGAATCCTAAAGTGAAAACTTGACGGATTTATCAACAAGCATGATCAGGCTTTATCATCGTGTAACGTTGCTGTGAATCTTACAAAGGATCAGTGCGCCTTCAATAGTGACGTATTTTTCAGAAGGGTTCATTATACATGTACAGTCAGATTTTGAATATTCATATTTTACGAATTCTAACGATCAACGGTAAAAGAGATGTACTAATTTGTATTACTTTGACCTCAATTTGCATGTTGACCCCAAGTGGGCATGGTAAACCTTGGTGAAGCAATGTTGCCACATTTTTCATCATCAACATTATGTTTTGAATAATAGCGATACATTTTAAAGTGTTTTCACAGAGATATGTTGTAAAATTTAACTATTCAAAGAAAACCAACTTGGTTGAAAGTCTGGAGTACTGAATGCACGTATTACTACATGTACATGTACCTGTGAAGAAACATGCTTCCACCTCGGTAATATGTTTTATTCTGGTCATATTGACCATTATCATGTTGCCGCCATCGTGATTTTTCCCCATTCAAATGAACATAACCAAAGCGAGGCTGGAAGGGAAAATAGTCTGGCTCCTTTTTGCATAAAAAAACATTGTCATTCAGTACTGTTATTCGACACAGGGAACATGACTAAAATGGTGGCAGAATGATAAAGATCTATAGCATAAGTCTGTAGGGCGAATTTTTCTCCATTTTTTTAAAGAACAAATTTTTTGTTGTTACTAAATGGGTTTTGACCACTGGATGATGAATGCAAGTGAATTTTAATTGTGGAGGAGGGATATTACACTAAACGGTGAAATGACTATTTAATATGAACTGTATTTGACGTTGAAGGGGTTTTGATAGATGTACAGTTTTCTATTACATTTGAATGGCATAAAATGGAATTTGCTTTAATGCAATCATTGTTTTGGTGTCCCATTTAACTTTACTTTCTTATCCTTATACTGCCATTTTTAGTGCAGTTTGGCGACTTTTTGGTTTTTATGCTCCGGCCAATTTCATGAGCAAAACTTTGATGTACCTCATTCAAGACAGAAACTTCTGTGTCACATCTGCGACAGCATAAACAGTCACCAGAAGTATGGGGGTTGGATGGGGTTACTATTCTGCTTTCAGTGATTCATTTGTTATTTCAGTACATGACAGCAAGACTTTTAGAAAGCTTTACATTGTAATCAGCACAAATGTGTTCAATAAGCAGAATTTTGGGTTTACAATTTGAAGAAAAACTCCAATCTGAAGGTTGAGGGTCTAAAGTGACATCACAATAACTGTGCCCAAGCCTGCCAACTCTCACGCATAACGGTGAGACTCCCGCATTTCAGGTTATTCACACTCTCTCACGCACCCGCAGGATTTCTCACGCTTAAACAAAAAACCTGGAAAACGATGTTTAAATGATGATCTTTTGCTAAAATAAATTGGTTAAAGTGGTCGGAAATTGCCTCAGATCGCACCACAGATCGTCTACAATCGAATGTTTATTAGGGGCCCTTAAGCGGGCCCCATACCCACGTTGTTAGGGCTTCGCACTTCGCGCTTGCATTAGTTCTGATGAAGCTCCATCGCCAAATTCTCACTCTCAGCTCGAATTACTCTAAGTTGGCAGCCCTCTGTTGTCAGAAAAAGCATGAAACATTTTAAATGATTCAAAAAGTGCACTGTGCAAAATAGATTGCAAAAAAAAAGATATCTCATAGGTTTTATACATTGAAGAAGAATGGATAATTTCCTCAAATATGCTCCAGAGTAAAATCATTTCCTGGACCTTTCAATGTTTTTATAGGCCTATTTCTTGAAACATTAAATATGAGGTGGGCCTTATTCATGAACAATTGCTAGAAATGTTACCATATCATAAAGTCTTAATTGTTTCCAATTTTTTTTTTAAACTGTAATACACAGACCCATACACCATGCACAAGAGCAGCCGGGTACAGTGAACAAGAATGGGCATATACATGTGCGTACACAACTGACAACAACATACAAGTACCATACATGTTTGTATGCTTGAGGTCAGAGGTACGAGTCCTATGAAAAGCTTTTCATACAAATCCGGGAATTCCCAACATGAGAAATATGTTCATGAGGAAAGCAGTTCAACTGTGACGTCACAACGGAAGCTTTGCTAGGAAGTGATGGTGCATGTTAGTACATGTACATAGTACGTGTGCAGAAACGTACAGTAGTGCTGTGCAAATAGGGTGTGGCTGATAATCTGCTGACAGCTAGAGTGCATACAGGAAAAGACTTTCCAACTGTACCTAGAAAACAACTACAATACGTTGTACAGGTAAGTGGATGATGTCATACAAATATAACATGGTTTGAGGGTGGACAGTCGATATTCGTTCCCCTAGGTATTGGAAGTTTTGCCTCGGGAACTAGTTTGTCAACTTCCAATACCGAGGGGAGCTAATATCGACTGTCCACCCAAAATAAACCATGTTATATTTGTTTTACTATACCTCATACATATTCAGTTGCCAAATTTTCCTGCAGTGCACCTCGCGGGCAAAAAAATCATCAACAAAAACTTGTCTAGCTCACCAGAAAAATAACACTCAACATCCGAAACGTTCAGTTCGTTTGCAATACAGTAACTACGGTTGTAAATACTATTGTTCGTGGAAAACTTTTCTGTTTTTTTAATACAGAAGGCATCTTTATTGTTCACAATATATTCTCCAATTCGGCATCATTGAGCTCCGGAAAACACTAATTATCATTTACGTGTGCAACCATCTTTTCATGTGTAGCTATAGGTTCGCTCGTACCCCCCGTCCTGCAAACAGGGCGCTGGGATACGCTGATGAGCTTCACTGAATCTTGTGAAGGAAGTGGGGATAGCATTCTGGGTAACTTATCTTAAAAGCATCTGGCATGAAGCTGTTTAAGACTTAGCCCCATAAATGTGGCCTATTTACTGGACTGCCTCCGTAAACATAGGCCAACATCCACATGTACAAAAATCGTGTCGACTTTGCCAAATTTTGATTTTCACATTTAGGCTTAGTATGTAGGGTTTTTTTGCTTTAGAAGCATACTCACCCTCTTTATAGGCTAATCAGAAAGTGCTGCCTTTTTCAGATGTATATTTTTCGTGAAATTTCCAGATTCATTTTTACACGTTTGCGTATCAAAATTTCAACATGAAATTTCACAAAAATTAGACATCTGAAAAAGGCAGCACTTTCTGACTAGCCTATAAAGAGGGTGAGTATGCTTCTAAAGCAAAAGAATGCTACAAACTAAGCCTAAATGTGAAAATTGTGAAAACACGATTTTTGTACATGTGGATGTGTGGTCTATGTTTACGGAGGCAGTCCAGTAAATAGGCCACATTTATGGGGCTATTTAAGACTATACAGTTAGCCAATAAACTGCGCGCAAATGCTATCCGAAAACTTTCCCATAGAAATGCACACATCCTATACTGGATGTGATTTATTTTTCATTGTGGGCCATGAGGACAAATATTGAGCATCACATTATATGCAATTTGACCCATCGTAAATTCAAAACGGAGCCTGAGCAAGTGACGAGAATGGAAAATTTACAAACCAGATACGTTTTACAAATTGTCCTACATAATTACGCTTTTCAATGAAAAAAACATTCATGAATGAAAATAAAAGAGAGATGACTCAGTCTTAACGGCCGTTTATATTCCTTGCAGGGTTGTGGCCCTGAAGACTTGCAGGTCACAGGTCATACAAAATCTATCCAATCAGAGCGTGAATTCATCAGCGTATCCCAGCCTTCTGTGCATATTTAGCCTGTGCGTGAATACTCGTGCGCACATTTGGTAAACAGCACAAATAGCACCTGGCACGTGCTGTTGCATGGACCAGTGAGAATTCAGCTTACGGTCATGAATATGTATGAGGTATAGTAATACAGTATGCAGTAAAGAAAATAAAAAACAGCACCATGGAATCCGCATGGAAATGGGCTCTGTATCCATGAAAACATTAACAAACTCTCCTTTGATTCGTTATCTTTACCAGTACTGTTACGTGTTTGTATGTGCAGTACACATGATATTGATTTCATCAGCATAAAATAGTTCTTGCATACATATTTAAAACTGGAGTACGTCACTGGACATCAGCCACTCTAGGCCAAGTTAACATACATTTAAAGATTTGTTGTCATTCTTATAGAGTACAACTGAGCACTTGAGATGGCAGAGGGGGGTGTGGCCGATCAAGTCTTGGATGAGACTCAGAAGGAACTTCAAGAATGTCCTATCTGTTACACTGAGTACAAGGATCCTAGGATGCTAGACTGCTCACACAGCTTCTGCCTGAAATGTCTCCAAGAACTCAGACTGACACAAAATAAGGACAACAAGAATATTGTCTGTCCGTTGTGTCGAAAGGAAACTGCCCTGACTGAAGCTGGCGTGGATATGCTACCTGGAGGATCAAAGGAGGTCAATCAACAGGAACAGACTGAAGGTCAGGGGTTAAAAGTCATGTGCCATGCATGCGATGAGGAAAATGAAGCCATTTCTAGATGCATGGATTGCAAGCATTATCTCTGTCAAGAATGCCAGAGGGCACACAATCGATTGGCACCACTGAAGAGTCACAAGATTGTGGCTTTGACAGAGCTACCTGTTGAGTCTCATGAAAGAACAGAGGAAACTGAACTCAAGAAAGTTCCCAAGTGTTTCAAGCATCCAGATCAAGACCTCTCTCTGTATTGTAACACATGTGAAGTCCTCATATGCAATGAATGCACAAACATTGATCACAAAGAATCCATGCATTCTTATGAAGGTATCGACGAGGCATTCAATAAATGTAAACAAGAAGTAAATGAATCCGTATCTAAAACAGAAGAGTGCATTAAAAAATTTGCTTCTGTCAAGCCCTGTTCAGGTCATTCACGCTACCGACTTGACAAGATGCTGGCAAAAACGTACTCTCAAATTTCACAGAAAGCGGAAAAGGAAATTGTCAAAATCAGAGAAAAAGAAAAACAACTCAAAATGGAGGCCAGGGACATTGCCACTAAACAAGATACAGAATTTGCATACGCAGAAATGTCTGAGCAGATTCTGGGTGAAGTTAATAAAGTTATGACTACAGAAACGTGCTATGAGATCCTGAAGTCCAAGAAGAAAATGCTGTGGGAATTGAATGAGCAGGTTAGAGTGCATAAGAGTTTGGATATCAGGCATGGGAAGTCATTCCTTGGTTTAAGGGAGAGTAAAGAGGACGGTCAGCTTGGGACTCTGCTCTTGGAGGAGAAATGGGAGAGAGATGAGGCCTTTGGAAGTGTGTACGGCACAACCCATATTGCAGCGTACTCCACATGTGAAATGGTTGTGACATGCAGTGATAAGCTGCTTACATTGGATCCAGAGGGGAAGGAGATTTCTACGAAGACCTACAAACCTGACCCTGATAAACCAAACGAACCCCATGACCCTAATGACATACAGAAAGCAACAGCTCTAGCCATCAACAAGGATGATCAACTTCTGATCCTAGACAATCCTGCAGTCAAGATCTTCAACAAGGAATACCAGCTCCTTCATCAGTTCCTACCGGGTAAAGAGGCCGGCATGGACAGCACGCCAATGTGCCTGGCAGTGGACGGCAGCAATCTGATAGCAGTGGGTTACAAGGACAAGGAACAGATATCTCTACACAACCCAGATGGTTCCCTCGTCAGAACACTGCCTGCTCCAAAGATTGATGCACATTTGATCTTCAGCAACAAGCAACTTATTTACACCAACAGCAATGAGGGCTTGCTGATGGCTGTTGACTTACATGGCAACAAACTGTTTACTCAAAGTGGTTGGTATCCTGGCGGGCTGTGTTGTGATGATGCAGGTGATATTTACTATCTTGCCTCACACAAAGAAGGACATAGATTTAGAAGAAAACTTCTCCATTTCAGTGCAGATGGCGAGTACATTGGCTCATGGCAATCTGAGGATCATAGTGTTATCACATACACACCTGCACATAAATTAGCATGTGCAGGGTTGACCACGTACATGGGTATGTATCACTTGGTTTAGAGACATCAACCAACAGGAATAGCAAATTCAAACGATCAAAATAAGCAAGGAATCCAAAAAAAAATCAAGACAACATGGCAACAAACTGTTTCAACGAAAATGCACTTCTGCTTGTGGGCTGTGTTGTGATGATGCAGGCGACAATTACATTATTTCCCCATTTAAGATTTTCCATTGCACTACAGGTGGCAATTACGTTGAAACAATAATACAGGAGAGTAACTTGATCGATATCATATACACACCTGCATTTAAATTAGTTACAAAAGTGTTGTGGATGTACATGTACAACTTAGTTTAAAGACATCAACCTATATTAAATTGGAAATTGAAGCGATCAAACTAAAAGGCTGGGAATGAACAAAAAATAGAGGTCTACAGAACATGGGGCTTCCCGCATTTCACGTTTTAAAAACTTTATGCTTTGTTTGTACATGTGCAAACATGTTCCATAATGTTTAATTTCATACACGAACACAGTTCTGTGATTAACATGCTGCTTATATTGACATACCCAAGTTTGATTTCTAAATTTTTGAAATCCATAAAATGATCAAGCCTTGAAAGCACAATTGACTAAAGTTCCACTGCTCAGTGGTTTGTTATTACTTTATCAACACCCTTCCCCTCCAAAAAAACCCAGCAAAGTTTCCCAATAAAAAGAGTCCTTATTCAATGATCATGAAGCTCCATGAAAACGAGCAACTTAATTTATGGAAAAGCAACATATTTAATACCAGGCTGTTTAAGCCCATACCATTAAACTTGAAACCAAGTCGCCGTTGTGTTTTGTCTGACAAGGCCCCCAATATTTACTAGCACGGCACTCACTAGCGCCATGTATTGTGCTTAAACATCCAGAGCACATCCAGAATGCATTTCTTTTTAATAATTAGAACTTTGACATTTGGCCTATGGGGTCCGAAAGCGACTGGCAATCCTAAGAACTACCCACGTAGCTGTGATCACAAATGCACTTAGTCTCAACTTGATATGCCAAGTTTTTCCTGAGTTACATGTGTATGTTGAAAAAAAATATTCCTGTCTTTAATAATCATAAAAATCCTAATCTTTGGCCTAAGGGGTCCAAAAAGTGACAGGTTTATGAGAAGATCCCCAGCTTAAATAAAATACCAAGTTTTAAGTTGATATGACAAGTCTTGTTTGTGCTATGCTGGGGAAAACTATTGCTATTGTTTTAACCATAATGACCTTTGCCTTTGATTCATGAGTTCTTAACTCGTTAAGCTTCATTAAGCTGTGTTCAGGCCGTGACTTTGCTTAAGTTACGCTGTGTATATAATGCTGATGCGCGCAGCCATACAAGTGAACGTACTGTGCGATGCTGACACTAGCTTGCATGGAAAAAGCGTAATCAGGTACAAGGCTGAATGGGTTATATGCTGGCGTGGTGTACATTCTTACATTGGCGTGTATTGTTTACATTTACGTACATTACTTACATTGGCATGTATTATTTACATTGGCATGTATTGTTTATTTTGGCGTAGATGTATTGTTTACATTGCTGTACATTACTTACATTGGCGTGCATTGTCTACACTGGCGTAGATGTATTGTTTACATTGCTGTACATTACTTACATTGGTGCGCGTTGTTTACATTGGCGTAGATGCATTGTTTACATTGCTGTACATTACTTACATTGGCGCGCATTGTCTACATGGCGTTTATGTATTGTTTACATTGCTGTACATTACTTACATTGGCGCGCATTGTCTACATTGGCGTAGATGTATTGTTTACATTGTTGTACATTACTTACATTGGTGCGCATAGTCTACATTGGCGTAAATGTATTGTTTACATTGCTGTATATTTGGCGCGCATTGTCTACATTGGTGTACATTGCTGTACATTACTTACATTGGCCTGTGTTGTTTACATTGGCGTGCATTGTTTACATTGGTGTGTATTACTTACATTGGCGTGTATTATTTACATTGGCATGTATTGTTTATTTTGGCGTAGATGTATTGTTTACATTGCTGTACATTACTTACATTGGCGCGTGTTGTTTACATTGGCGTGCACTTGCTTACATTGGTGTGTATTACTTACATTGGTGTGTTTTGTTTACATTATTGTACATTGTTGATGCTGTGCACATTGCTGCTTATATGAGAAGTGGTCGGGTTGTCTCCCAACTATAATTAAGTGACCCTGGTAATAGATCAGCCCAATTAGATCCCAGTTATAACTGTATAGTTCTTGATTATTGTATAATAAATTACAGTCGTAATTGTTGTGCTGACAATCCTGTTGTCAAGGTGTATTTCTTGCAGGTTTATTGTACAATTAACAGACAGTAATCACAATCATCATAATCGGCGGTAAATTTCCTCCAAAACAGACCTGCTCCCTAAGCCTTGACGTCGCTCTGAGTGGTCTCTCGTCTTGGGAAAGTTTGGGCTTGGGAAGATCAGCTGCACTCCAATATGAGTCAGACTTGGTCCCTATCAACTTCGCTTTGGCCGGGGGAGATCCCGGGCATGCCGTCACAATATTATGGGGACCAAAGACGCTATGGGGACAGCAGAAAGTCCCCATAACTCAGTCCTAATTTCCCTAACAATTACAAACTTCGTGTTTTCCTTTGTCCCTGTAATGTAACACTCTCCCAAAGCCTAAGCACATAAATGATGAACGTTGAAGTCAACAAAGAATCTGTTGTCCTCCCTTTGTCTGTCAGTCCTCGGATGTATGTAGTGTACGCCCACACGTTTGTTCTTGTTCCGTAACAGTGGGGAGAACACACACGTGTTGTCCCATGGTATTATGGGGCCAAAGACACTATGGGGACAGCAGAAAGTCCCCATAACTAGGTTTTTATTTCCTTAACAATAAAAACCTTCCCCTTAACGCTGGCACACGGACGGACAAGGCGGAAACAGTATGCCCCTTCGGCTTCACCGATGGGGCATAACCACATTCAATGATTGTTTTCTTCCAAACAATACCATTTCAAGTGGAATAATTTCACAGGGTATTAGGTACCTTTGAAGAAGGTTTTGGTCATTAAATCAGTTGGTCCGTTTCCGGGTATTCACCAACGTTACCACTACGGTACATCATGAGCTTTAAAATGACAACAAACTCGGAGCATTCCTACCTTACAATAGGAAGTTAAGGTTATATAAACTAATTGTTTTTTCTGCAATTTTCAGAAATTGATAGATTTGGGGGTTAGTATATTTCATAGCAAATATTGTCACACTAACCTATTAAAAGTTTTATGTTCATAGATGCTGGGAAAAACCAAGAAAAAACATGCTGCTCTTGTAGCCTGGTTCCCTGACCCTACTTCAGATGAAATGGAGCAATTTATAGATGGCGGGGCATTGTCAGGTCAGGGAACCAGACTAACCGGCTTACACCCATTCACGGATGTGCAACTGATTGCAAACAAAATGTATTTCAGAAAAGTCAGGTTTTTTCCAACGACTTGGTCGTAAGTTTCCCAACAAACAAAAAAACTTCCCCACAACGTACGCGTGGTCAACGATAACGTGACATACTTAGGAAATCATCCAATAGTATACCAACGGTTCTTGATAAAACTTTTGGGGTGTGTTTGAGCATGTTACTCGTGTTAACACGGGTATACTCCTGAGCGCACAAACGGCAGGAGTACGACCCGCGGGTTAGCAAGGGTATGCTCTCCGTCATACCGGGAGTATACTCCTGCACCGAGAGTGATACGCACGCAGCATTTTCCTGCACTCAGGAGTAGCAAGAGTAACACGCCCAAACGCACCCTTGAAGGGTTTTTGTAAGATGAATGGTCACCTCGGCGACCTATGAACTCACCTCCCGGATGTACTTGATGCCTTCCGTGGCGAAGAGGATCTGCTGCATGTCGCTGGGCATGGCTAGCGGCTTACTGGTGGGGATGATCAACGTCCGCTGCCTCGGTGGATAATCCCCTTGATCTGGGGATTAACAGTAATCCACAATAAGTCCAATTCAATCATTGCTATTCTGATAATGAAATTTAACTCTAACTCGCCTCAATCCTCCAAAATCCTCATGGCAGTTTAGGAGGATTTTGGAAGATTGAGGCTGAATGGCTAAAAGTGTCCGTTCATTTTGGACCCTGCATTGTTTATGTTGCAGCCATGCATTACTGAGCCCTGCATTATGCTCGATATCATCCGCACTGCTTCTGAATGTCATCAGCACTGCCTCAACCCATTAACAGTGAATTTTAAAGAATAGAGTCAATGGTCACTCCTCCATTGATTTTGGAGGATTGAGGATGGTTCCTAGCCAAAATTGTAATGCTTATATAGTGCTTTCCATTATAACAACGATCTCAAAATGCTTTACAAATATTCTCCGTTCATCAGGCCACGAGACCACATAGCAGCCGATATCAGCGTACATTCGGTCCTTTATACCCCCACAGCTACCCGTTCATACTCCTGGGAGGAGAGGCAATTGTAGTTAAGTGTCTTGCCCAAGGGCACAAACACCATGCTCCTGGCAGTAGAGTAGCACAGTACTTATGCACAAAGTCCATACAACAGACAGCCAGACTTACCGATTGTTCTGAACTTGGAGACGTCACAGTACAGGATCATGACAGCCAGCATCGTGTGGAGATAAGTGAACTCTTTGGTTTGCAGCGACGTCCATCGCCTCGTCTGAACATCCTACGCAGGCCAAAAAATCAATAAGTAGTCTCAAGAAATAAAACCATTGCCATGACGTCACACTATTGTTAAAAGTGTAGATTCAGAACTACGAATCTCTTACACTGGTCACAAAGTGTGGATTCGGAAACGACGAATCTTCAGTCAAGTTTGGATTCGGAATTACAAATCCGCATTTTGGACAATGTACTTTAAAACATATATCACTGAGTAGACATCATGAAACTTATGACACGTTAAGGAAAGACTGTTGCATCCTGACGCCACTCTTTTCCTCATATATCATCTCAATAAAGGTCAGTCATTGCAAAAATGTTGAAAAGACATGAATCTGGGAACGAGAAACATTTCCATTTTTGTTAGGTAATACTTCATAGACTCTCCGTAGACTCCCACAACCGCTTCGTGGCATCTGGATACAACATTCTTTCTCACGTTAATTTCATTCTCTTTTTTTTTACGCATTCTTAATACATTTTGAACATTTTCAATTTGTTTTCACTTGATTCAAATCCATGTTGACGTGAAAGAGTCTACACCCAAAATAACGTGGTTGCACGGGTGTGGCGACTAGGATTCACATTATTAACAGAAACACGCCACAATGTTAATTTCCTTTACATAAAATTTGATAACATAAGCGCCTCGGATAACTCCCTTGAATGTAAGTTCCGCCGAATTAAATGGCCACGATACAAGATATGCAAGTCTTTTCATCTCCACTCACTGGACTGTAAATGACAATACTCCTTTTGACACAATGGTTTAAGTCAGAGAATACACTCACAAGTGTGGATTCTTAATTTACAAATTTACTCGGCGCTTTGCGCCTTGTGAATTCTTAAATTACGAATCCACACTTTCTCCTGTATTCTCTGTAAATGTCTACTATTGGACACAGGTTAAAAGTCATGTGAATTATGGCATCAATTAGGTGATCATTTTGTGAGACTTTATTTGAAGCATAATTAACTTATCACAACTAGATCTATATGTGCTCGAAGTGAGTAATGAAGAACCAGCCATTATTGGGTGATCGTCACCTGATTTCATTTAACGCACTGTTTTTTACACGTGAAACTATCTTACATACCTCTTCATTCTGTGCAGTGTGTGGGCCCAAGAGGAACATAACGATCCGACGCACGGCAGACTTAGTGAACAGATGTTTGCAGCATACAATATCCTATGATTGGAAAAGACAACAAATTCATTCAGGCCAAAAAAAATTAAAAATCCGGTTTCTGGTATGCGCGCGCGTCACCGCGGCGTAGCCATGCGCGTCGGCAAAATGAAACAGTTTTTTTTTTCAATGAAAGATGATGTCTCAAAACCGCCAAACTCACTGGTTTGACTGGAATCCTGCTGCTGCACAATTTGAATGTGTTTTTAGATTGGGTTATAGTCGAGAATAAGCTTTATGTGGTCTCTCTGGACTCCAATATATTTGCTCTCCAAATTTGAGTAGTTAGCAACAGGTCTATCAAAAATTGGCCTACTGCCATTGAAACCAATACCCAATTTTTGCAGCCATGTGGTACATTATTAATAAGTTACTTACTTTATCATGAAGAGACGTCATAATAAATGGGATCAAAGTATGATGGTGCAGTTATAAATGCATGGTTTCAAGCTGGTTAGGGGCCTGGCCGATAATAATGTTCGGCTCAGGCTATACATCTTTTTCACGAGGAAGCCATTTTTGATCGTGTTCCCTGAATGTATTTTATAAATTGTCAACTGTTGAATGGGATGGTGCCAGACTATTTATGCCTTCCAAGCCTCACTTTCAATTTTTCTGAACGCTCATTGGTTTACTGCCATGTACTTACACAACAACAAATCACCAAAGAAAAGAAAATTTGTGACAGCAAAATATCCAAAATTATAGAAACTTTTTGTGCTGAAATAGCTGTAACATTGAGGTTTCTGCCCGGAATGACATCACAGGTTTGCTCATGAATACGGTAATTTGAATTAGCATAAAAACCAAAAAGACATCAAAATACCCGTGGATATGGCAATATGAAATTTAAAATAAGGTTAAATGGAACACAAAGATGCATTTTCAAGGATAGCATTAAATAAATGCTATCTACAATGCATGGGCCCTTTAAGAGTCAAATGAATGCTGCCCTCAGAACTCACCTGAGTTTCTTTTTGGTTCGGAAACTGGAAGGCTAGTTGCAGGCTGGTGACGGCACAGGAATCCTAGTTACTGCTCAGTGTGAAGGACTGCAGATTGACAAGAAGAGCAATATTTTTGAAGAGGAGTTTTTATCAAAGTATTCTCGATCAGGGTAATGATTTAGGGGTAAACTTTATAAGCAATTAAGTACCAAAATTGCAAATTTAAAGATTACGCGAGGAGAAATTGCTCAGCGCAAACCACACGCCCGTAATTGGCGCCTATCAACTGCACAGTGCTCGAACAAAGCGCGGGGAATTCAATTCCTCGTGCTCCCATGCATATACAAACACTGTGCAATCGAAATTCCCAGCCGTTCGTTTTGGGCACTGTAACATTGTCACGCAGCAATTTCCATTCGCCTACTTTTTAAATTTGCAACTTTTCCAACTGCATCATTTTTCATGAACCATTGTCAATGTTGGATGATTTACAGTCTTTGGTAGCAAACGGAGTATCAAAATGTAGCTAAAAATTTATATGAATGACGTTATCATAAGACGATCAGATTCAAAATTCTGACCCTAAAATGAGTGTGGACTTTTTTTTTCGGCGTTTATTTCAAAATCTAGTACTAGCAGAAAATCCCATGCTGACAGTGGGCATTTTTCACATGAAACACATGAAGAGTACTCCAACAGCTCGATTTTTGAGGAGCAAAGTTTTGTACCCTGAAATTCCTTTTTGCAGTAATGTCAGCAAATTTGAAAGGTATCGTTG